TTTTTTTTTTAGAACCTCATACCATGATTCTGTAATGGGAAACAAGTACGCAGCTAATAGGAAAAGCACTGGACAGATAAATCTAAGCACAAGCCCCATTAATAGTGGCAGTTGTTTGGGATACTACAGCAATACAAGGAGTAATTCTTTGAGACTGAATTTAATCAGCGAGCGGAGAGGCGACCGTCGACGGAGCAACACACTGGATATAATGGATGGAAGGATAAATCACGGTGGAAGTTTGGCAAGGACTAGAAGCCTTTCCTCCCTGAGAGAGGGAGGGATGTATGATGTGCAGCCCACTACTGACCCTGTCAACTTGATGGCCACCATCTTTTGGATTGCAGCTTCGTTGCTGGAGTCAGATTATGAGTATGAATACCTTTTGGCTCTCAAGCTACTCAACAAGCTTCTCATTCACTTGCCTCTGGATAAATCAGAGAGTCGGGAAAAGATAGAAAAGGTGCAGAATAAACTGAAATGGAATAACTTTCCAGGCCTTCAGCAGCTTTTCCTAAAAGGGTTTACTTCAGCATCTACACAAGAAATGACAGTCCATCTCCTCAGTAAACTCATCACAATTTCCAGGCATGCTTTAGTGGATCCTTCGCAGTTAGCAGGTATCTTTAGTAACTGTATATGTAATGAAAATGTATTTTTTCATCAAATTAAGTGTAATCAAAATCAGTAGCGATTATGCATTTGCCTTTAAAAAACACCCTTCACTTAAATGTTTTTGCAGTTGTCAGTGTTACAGTGCTGGATAGTGGGAATACGTTACAGACTGTGATTATCTTCCAAGAAAAACTGCATGAAAACTTTATCTATTGATTATTAACTTACTTTATTCTTGCTTGCAAGTTTTAAGAGCACATGTATTATTTTTCATGATCTTGTGCTAAATAGCTCAATTAGTACTATTTCAAACATTTGCAAGTATTGAAACAACGTGACTGTACTGCCTAAAGCTGTCCAGTTTCACAGTAGTTTTCCTTACTTGGTCCAGTGATGATTTTATTTACATCTTATACATTTTTATACCTATACAAACACATGTATATACCCTCTAAATAGATGCACTCTTAGGTTCATGTGTGTAAAAATATATAATTTATGTATCTGTGTGAATGTATGTATATCGTGCTCTATGGCTTTTTAAATACCAGAGAGCTGTTATTCGCTCACGTAACTCCACATTAACTTAAGTCATATTAAAATATTGAGGGCTCATATAACTGGTTTTATGTATGTGTTTAGGATTTCCCCTAAACATCTTGTGCCTACTTCCTCATCTGATCCAACATTTTGATAACCCAACTCAGTTCTGTAAAGAAACAGCTGACAGGATAGCAAAGGTATGTAAAATAATGCATGGGGAGTATCCAGGAGTTTATTACCTGCATTGCTGTATTTTTCTGCTCCCTTATGCAATACTTTCATGTGATTCTAATAGTCTCATAGAAGTAACTCTAAAAAGTTGTGTTTTAAAGGTGTGATCCAGTCCTCATTCATATAGTTGGTCCTCATATCAACTCCTGAGTTTCCCTGAGCTTCATCCACAAAAGGAAAAAACACATTTTGCTTATTCTGTAAATTTTAGATATAAAGAAGAAATTTAACTTATTAATGATATCAGTTACTTTTTCTTACTTATCTGATTTTGCAGCTTGTAATTTTAAATATAAACTTTATCAATTTTTAAGCACACTTCCTAA